TGGATATTTGTTACGCTCTAACACAGCCAGTTTAGAATTATATGATGTATTATTTGTTTTAATTAGTTAATGCTTTTTTGTATTAGGCGATGCTGTTAATTAAATAATAGTATATATAGCTCTAATTTGACTCTCTTTCGCTGAAAATATTTAGGCCATTTTCCTTATTTATTACTTCAGAACATACCAAACATATCAAAATAAAAAAAACAATTTGACTCGTACCTTCGCCTGTCCCCAAACAACTCGTTTGAAAAAGGGGGGGGTTCAGTTAGGGGAAAAAATCTACCTTAAAAAAACCTACTCAACCCAAAAAAAAGTGTGTGTGTGTGTGTGTCAAAACTCGAATCCAATTTCGCTGTTGGGGGTAGGGTTAGGTTCAGTCTTCTTTCAGTATCAAATTTTCTTAATCAAGCATTATACAGTGCCTTATTCTTTTGCCCTATAGTGCACGAATTTTACTATATGATGCAACTGTGTGTGTGTGTGTGTGGATGTTGGGGGGGGGGGCGGACTTTCAATGCACACCCCAACCTCCGTTGCTACTTACCTGCGACTGTAATGGCCAATATTTTATTTAAAAGAAGAAAAAATTGTGTTTATTAATTCCTCTTCGTAGAGTCATGTTAGGATAATGATATAAAGTCTTATCTCGGATCTTTAAGAAATTAATGTCGAGATATGCCGGGTATTTTGATACCTGTATCAGAGTTAAAGATTTCAACGCAAGATGTGACTTATTTATTTCATATCAGGAATAGTCAGTGATATATATTTCATGCTCATTAAAGTTTTTAAAGATTTTAAACATTTTCATAACTTTTGGAAATTACACCCATAACAATTTGTCACATACTTTTTGCTCTTTTAGTGATGTATTTGTTGTTATCCAGAAATGTGTGCGTCTTTTTGCATAGCAATATTTTCCCCCCTTTTGGTTTATAAATATAGGTTCCAGTGGGATTTCATTCATTCATTTCATTGGATCAATTTCAGAAATTTGAAACAATAGTAATTTCTAACATACAACTCCTTTGAATGTATTTATTTGATCATTCTAAATTAGTTTTTGAAACAAAATTTATTTTAGCAAAATTTTAATGGCATCCCCATCATCCGTATTTATTTCCCTTAGCATATTCTATAGCTATTACTGTTAATTTAGTAAAAAATATTTATTGTTTAATGCAAAAGGTTTGGATCTCCCATGTTACCAGTATCTTTATTCAATCAAAGAGGAATTATGTTTCTTAGCTTTCACTTTTACCGGTCTTTATATTGGGAGATTTTTTGGCTTGTCTTTTAACCCCCCCCCCCCCTTTTACACACATTTTAAAATCGACAGTTCACCGAAGGCTGGCTATCGGGGTATACATGTATCAGTATGATTAACTATGGATTAAAATTGAAATGGCTAAATACGTTTTAAATTATGTTATATATTTTTCAGAAAAATAGCAGTGCTAATAAGAATGGTAATTACTATATATGCATAGATCTCTCTCTCTCTCTGAAAAAAATATACATGTACATATGGAATATAACTTTATATATTAAGACTTCTTAACATGAATTCAAAATTCAATGAAGCGTTTGTAAATTGCTCAGAAAACAAATATGCAGCATCTTTAATTTAGTCATGCATAGACATCGTTTTGATAGCTGTTCCATAGCTAGTAACGTGAATGCCCAGTGCCCCGTATATCTACATCAAGTTAAATACTTAAACAAAATTATGAATAAATTTACGTACTAAATTGTAAATATATCATATAACTATTAAAAAATGTCCGCATCAAGTTTCAAATTTTTGTTACGCTTTGAAATTCAACTTTATTTCTTGCTTACGATATGAAGTCAAAAAAATTACTAACGTGTTTACAACACTGCGACTTTGACGTCGTTTTCTGAGCATTGTGACGTCAAAAGATAAGGGCCCTTTTCTCATGACGGCAGTCAAATATCATTTGTATTTCATTAGGTACATTTTGAACCTAACATCATAGGGATCATTGATACATTAGAATGACATAGCGACCAGCGATGTTGCAAATCAATGCTGTACAGATAACTGTAGTATTATGGACTTAAGTTCAATAGTAAATGAAACTTTCTCACCATTTGGGTGAGCACAAAGTTGCTGTAACTGCCCGGACGCAGTCAGATAAACCCGGTCAATCAAACAAGGTCCAAAAACACCAGGAAACTGGTAGATCAAATTTATTGTGTTGACACAAGTGGTAAAAGGCTGTAAACAAATACAGAAAACAGAGTTACAAATATGAAGTAAACATAACAAGCAATACTCAATACTGAACTCTATACACAATGTACAGATGCATATTGACTAGTAACCATATACCTGGATGACTAATTGACTGATAAAATGACTTTAAACACAGTATTACATTTAATTAATACACCATGAATATACCTGATATACAAGACTTAAGACTCAACACCTATAGACTGACGATCGACTTCATAAAATGACAAGAATTTGATATAAATGTATAATCTGTTAAACCGCCTAAGTTCATATATGAAAAAGACAATTAACTGGACAAATCTATTCAATTCTATCAAAGATTCAATACATATTAGGCAAATTTTAACTAACTTTCAATGAATGTAAATTTGGCGCTAAACGATCAATGTAAACAATCATTCCTACATATCATGACAAATAATAGCTAAAAGATCCTACATTATTTCATGTCGAAGTAAATAACCTAGTCTATGAGTAATTTATCATAAGCTAATATTCATAAATCACAAGTAAATGAAATATAAACAAGGTAAACTTACATCGTGGCACCGATACATCTGCCAAACAACCACGTTGGCTAAACCGGAAATGTACAAAACACAAAAGAGTGGGCGCACTAATAGCCCAAAAAATACTCATGCGGGGTACACTAAAACCCGTAAAAACATATAAAATCATGAAACAGGTAAAATCGAAATACATGTTACTTGACACTCCCCGTCTGATATTAATAATATCACTCAAATCAAATACAGAACAATGACAATGCAATGTTTAACATCATATCTAAACACACATCAACATCATGACCAATAACAAGTTCAATCATCATCCTTCCTGCACAGCAGCACAATGTCACTGGTCGGTCTGGTGTAGACCTTTCTGTCCCTGCCAACACGCACATCAACTTTGCGGACACGATTATCGGAACTCGAATACGCCTTGATGACGATTCCAATAGGCCATTCATTGCGGTAAGTAGACTTCTCGCTAAGTAATACGACGTCACCCTCTTCAAGGTTCCTTGATTCCTGCTTCCACTTCCTGCGAATTTGTAATGTTGGAAGATATTCGTTCCGCCAACGAATCCAGAACTGATCTGCGAGGTGTTGCACACATCTCCACTGTTTCTTGAAGATGTCCTTCCTGCTGAAGTCATCCAGCTGAAATGACCGCACTGTTTGATCCGTCTTCATGGTGAGTAATAAGGATGGTGTCAGTAGACATGGAATCTCAGGGTCATAAGACATGGGTGTAAGGGGTCTCGCATTGATAATGGATGAGACTTCGGCCATGAGCGTTGCCAGCACATCGTGTGTCAGGTTCTTTACATCCAGCAGCAATGAATCGAGAATGCGTCTAGCCACTCCTATCACTCTCTCCCATGCCCCACCCATGTGTGAGGCATGGGGTGGGTTGAAGACCCAGTTGATGCGATGTTCTGCGAGGTACTCTTGTATAGGTCTATCATCTACACTGATGACATTCGCATTCAAGTCTCCAGTAGAACCGACAAAGTTTGTTCCCTGATCAGAATGAATGATCTTCACTTCTCCTCGAATTGCACAAAAACGTCTGAATGCGTTAATAAAACAGGAAGAAGACATTTCTTCTAACAGTTCGATGTGCACAGCACGCACAACCATACACGTACAGAGAAGAGCCCAACGCTTAGAGTTTACTTCTCGTCCACGAGTCTTGCGGGTAGCAATGGTCCATGGGCCAAAAACATCTATCCCTATGTATGTAAATGGGGGTGCGGGGTCTAATCGATCAAAGGGAAGGTCAGCCATCTTCTGTTCCTCACGACAGCCTCTGAGTTTCCTGCATTTCACACAGTGATGAATACATGAGTTGACAAACCGTCGCCCACCAATCAACCAAAATCCTGCCCTTCTGACTGCTGCTTCTGTCATTTGACGCCCTTGATGACTGATCCTTTCATGAAAGTGTCTGACAATCAAGACCGAAATGTGGTGCTTTGGTATGATAATAGGGTTCGTCTGTAGCATCGATAACTTTGATTCTTTCAAACGTCCACCAACGCGAAGAAGTCCATTATCGTCCAGATAAGGCGAAAGGTCCAGAATACGACTTGACTTTTGAAGAGGTAGTCCATCTCTTAAAGCCACAATTTCTTTTGACAAGAAATGCTCCTGAATAGTTCTTATAATCACATGTTCTGCCTCCTCTGATGTTACACAAATCTGGTTTGGTTCTGCTGTCCGTAAGCGAATGAACGTTTTCAAAGTACAGATTGCTCTTGTTAGGCTTTTCCATGTAGAAAACTGCTCAAATGGTCAGCCATGGGGAGATTCTCCTCTAGAACATTGTCCTTGACATCAGTTTTCATACATCTCACCTCTTTGTCTTCCTCTGGGTTCACTAACAAGTATTCATGCTGATCTTCTTCAATCTTATGAGAAAATGAACCTCTTGGACCATTCAACCACAGACTTTGTTGCAGATTTCCAGCAGATATGGACCTAGTAGCTTCGTCTGCAGGGTTCAGTGTTGTAGGTATATAACCCCACTGGTCAGGACTTGAAGACTTTCTTATCTTGTCGACTCGGTTCCTTACGTATGTGTAAAACCGCTTGGTCTCGTTCCCTATATAACCTAAGACAACCTTACTGTCTGTAAAGTATCTCACTTGACGAAATTCCATCCTGAGCTCATCTCTGATAATGTCACTGATTTCTGTCCCTAGTAAGGCGGCGCACAACTCGAGTCAGGGTATAGTGTGGCCGTGTTTCGGAGCAACTTTGGCTTTCCCAAGCACGAATCCAAAGTGACGCTGTTTGTTGTAAGTGGTGGTAACAACGTATGCCACAGCTGCGATAGCTAGTTCAGAAGCATCTGTAAAGATGAATAAGTTACAGTCACGTGATGACTCTAACGAGTATGTTTTAGGGATGTTCACTTGTTCCAGTGAGCTTAAGCTGTTCCTCCATAACTGAAACTTTCTGCAGATTTTCTCAGGTAAGGGTTGGTCCCATTCAAGTGGTTGGGCCATGGCTTCACGCAACAGCAACTTTCCCTCAATAATCACAGGAGTTGCGAATCCTATAGGGTCATATAGGCCGTTGATTATTGAGAGCACACTGCGTCTTGTGAGTGGTTTGGTGTGACTTAAAGTGACGCAAAATGTGAAAGTGTCCTTTTCCAGATTCCAACTTACTCCCAAGCTCCTCTGAATTGGGAGGTCATCACATTCAAAGTTTAGTTCCTTTAAATCTTTTGCAAGATCTTCCTTGTCAAAGGCTCTTAATACTTCACTGGAGTTGGAACATAATTTGTGAAGTCGCAGGTTTCCCTCTTCCTGAAGTGCGTATTTAGCTTTCTTTAGAAGTGTTATTGCCTCCTCGGCAGATCCGTGTGATGAAAGTGCGTCGTCCACATAAAAGTTTTGGTAGATGTAATCCTTAACATCTGATCCAGCGGTTTCCTCGGCGACATCTGCCGTTTTCCTCAAACCAAGTGTTGCCACAGCCGGGCTTGGTCCATTGCCAAAGACATGCACCTTCATTCTATAATCCACCAAAGGTTTCGTTATGTTATTGTCCTCATACCATACAAAGCGTAAATAGTCTCTATGAGGAGGGTAAACAAGAAAACTGTAGAACATCTGTTGCAGGTCAGCAATCACTCCAATTTTCTCTAATCGAAACCTAAGTAAAACTCCAACCAAATTGTTCATGAGATTCGGTCTTGTCATGAGGACGTCGTTCAGGGAAATGCCTTGGTATTTTGCAGATGAGTCAAATACCATTCTGATGCAATCTTTCTTTTGCGGGTGGTATACTCCAAATATGGGTAAGTACCAACATTCTCTGTCGAGTTTAGGTTCAGGCGCCCTCTCTGCATGTCCGACATCCAATAGAGCTTGCATGAATTCAAGGGCGTGTTGACGCTTTACTGGGTCCTTCTGCAGAGATACATCAAAGTTCTGAGCTCGGTCAACTGCCTGCTTACGGTTGTTTGGAAGGGTAGGTCTCGAGTACTTAAATGGTAAAGGCGCAACCCAGTTGTGATTTTGATCTCGTTTCATCTCAAGGTCCATGAGATCCAGAAAACGTTGATCCTCTACCGACATGGACGGCTTGTTATCATCCTTTGTTATTCGGAACAAAGAAGTTTCCTGGGTATGGTCTACCTGAAGATAACTGTCACAAGGATCCATGGATGTAGGACGTCCATTGAGCTGGGTATGTGTTTTCATAGTGTTCACGTCATGAGGTATATGTTGACCATCAAGACAAGTCTCCCCAATAATAACCCAACCTAACTTGAGTCTCTGTGCATATGGTTGACCTGGTCGTCCAATTATCTGATCTAGGACATAATGAGCTGAAATTAGGTCACGTCCTATGAGCAAGGAAATTTTAGCTTTAGAGTCCAGTGCAGGTAGGTAGTCAGCAATACACTTGAGGTGTGGATAGTTTTCTGCAACCTCAGGTGTCGGAATTTCACTCCTGTTATTCGGTATCATATCACACTCTGTTAGAGTGGGTAATACGAATCGCTAAGTACCGCACAAAGATGTCACCATGAAGCCTTCCGCACGCCTACCTAAAGTCACTACTTTCCCGGCACAACTGTTGATTGTATAGTTTTCAGAGTCAGTTCTTATGTTGAAGTGATCTAGTACATCACTACGGATCAGAGATGAATTACTCTGGTCATATATGATTGCGTAAACTTTCATAGACCTGGTCTGTGAGTTCACATCGTTCACATGAGAAATTTTCACAAGGACGATCTTTGATGACCTAGCAAGTCCTCCTTTACAAATCTCTGTGCAGCTTGAAGACACTTCTGTTCTGGGTTGAGATTGCTCCCCGCCGTGAGTCACCACTCCACCATGTCTTGGGGCTGATTGAGTTGTCTTCACTGTAGGTGTGGGGACTCTGAACACATGCATAGCTGTGGAATGTGTAGTCTCGTTACACTCGGCACAATGGATCTTTGCTTGACAGTTCCTTCTGAGATGCTTAGCAGCACAGCAACGAAAACAGCAACGAAAACATATTCCATTTTGCTTTAACAAGGTTTTACGATCCTCGAATGCTTTATGTCAAAAGGCACGACACTCATCCAAAGAGTGGTTGGTTTTGTGTATGATACAAGGAATTGGACCATCCTCGCCACTGGTCACAGAACTCACTGCTGTCTTTACTACTGATACTTTTGTCCTTGACGGGGTTCCATATGTGTTACTTATACTAGGATTCATATCAAAGTCAAGCTTGGATCGTTAAACAGTTCTGCCATGTCATGAACGAAATCACAAAAGTATGTGAAAGGAGGAAACAACACTCCATGAACACGCTTGTAATTAGCAGCACGATCCCGCCACTTATTTTGTAGACTTGGTGGTAACTTGGCGACTGTAGGGTTGATTCCCATGGAAGTATCATATAAGCTCAAAAGAGCCGCATATTCAGGTTTCTCTTTCACTGCCCTTATCTCAGATAGAATGTCAGATAGTTCAAACAGCTTGCCTCTGTCCTTTACAGTCATCCTTGGAACAGAATTGAGTTTCTTCTTAAGCGCGACTTCAACTTTCTCAGGTGAGCCGTAACGACTGTCCAACCGCTTCCATACTCTGTCGAGAGCTGTCTCGGGTCTTCCTGCATTCGCCACTTTCAGACTTTGAACTTGCTTTGACGACTCGTCTCCTGTCCAGCGTAGTAATAAGTCAAGTTCTTCTGCCGGCGAAGTGCCTATCTCAGCTGTTACACTCTTAAAGGTATATTTCCAAGAAATGTAGTGCTCTGCTTTATCATCAAACTTGTGAAGCCTTGCGGCAATTAGGTCTCTCTTAACAAGATACTTTGCAAAGTGTACACTACGGGCATTGTCTACACGTGGAGAAGTGTTTATGCACTGAGAGTTCACAAACTGAGTATTGTTCATAGTTCCATTTGTTGTCAACGGTCGTTGATCCTGACTAGGAATGAATGGTGAGTCAGGGAGCGCATTCACATACTCCTCGGTTCTTCTCTGTACAGCTTCTTCACAATTGAGTACACTCGTGTTTTCAAGTTCTAAAGCTTCCTCATCGTCAACAGCTTGGAGTTGAGCCATAGCGATGGCGGCCTCCTTCTTCGCTGATAATTGTTTCTCATGAGCATCCAGTTTTGCTTTCTGTATGATAACGTTCGCCTCATGAGTGGCCTTCTCTTCAAGCAGCTTTGATTCTTCCTCCAGGAATTCCAGTTGTTTCTTTGCTGTTTCCGCTGCTAGTCTTTGTTGTAGACGCACAGAGCTGACTGATGATCTACGTGATGATGTCGAAGGAGCTAAGGTCCTGTTCTTCTGAAGATTACCACTGGTGAGTTCCTCAAGTGAGTCTCGTGTAGAATCCGGCACTTGTAATCTAGAAGCCATGATCGGAAGATGGATCCTTTTACTGTAACTGCCCAGGCGCAGTCAGTTAAACCCTGGTCACAAAACTTAGTCCAAAAACACCAGGAAACTGGTAGATCAGTTTATTTTGTGGACACAAGTGGTAAAAGGCTGTAAACAAATACAGAAAACAGAGTTACAAATATGAAGTAAACATAACAAGCAATACTCAATACTGAACTCTATACACAATGTACAGATGCATATTGACTAGTAACCATATACCTGTATGACTAATTGACTGATAAAATGACTTTAAACACAGTATTACATTTAATTACACCATGAATATACCTGATATACAAAAATGACTTTGATATAAATGACTCAATATATGAAAAAGACTACCTATAGACTGACGATCTACTTCAAAAAATGAACAAAGGTTTGATATATAAATGCCTAATCTGTTAAATTGCTTAAGTTCATATATGAAAAGGCAATTAACTGGACAAATCTATTCAATTCCAATAAAGATTCAATACATATAAGGCATAATTTATCTTATTTTCAATGAATGTAAATTTGGCGCGAAACGATCAATGTAGACAATCATTCCTACATATCATGACAAAAAATAGGTAATGGATCCTACATTATTTCATGTCGAAGTAAATAATCTAATCTATGAGTAATTTATCATGAGCTAATATTCATAAATCACAAGTAAATGAAATATAAACAAGGTAAACTTACATCGTGGCACCGATACATCTGCCAAACAACCACTTTGGCTAAACCGGAAATGTACAAAACACAAAAGAGTGGGCACACTAATAGCCCAAAAAATACTCATACACTAAAACCCATAAAAATATACAAAACAGGTCATGAAACTGTATCTACCTATCTGTTTCGTGCAGGAAATATAACTTACAAATTTTAATTATAAGTCACGTTTAGCTACAGATATTTTATGGTGTTATTCACTTCAATAAAAATATTTCTGGAGTACAACAAAATTTCATAAATAAGCTGGTTTTAACTGATATAAATTATATAAATCATGTTTAAATATTTACTTGAGTAACCAATCTTTGTATCATATATGTGTCTGCTCACAGATGTCGTGCACTGGTTTTGTATATTAGTTAGAATGTTATTGTAGGTATACCTGCTGCTGAGAAGAAAGTATCAAGGAGTACGTTATGGAGGAGGAAAATGAAGGTTGAAAATCCACAAGCAAAGGAAATAGGCCAAGAGGCAATGCATTGTTTATAGTAAGAGGTTATGTCCCGTGCTGTCCGATAATAGCCGCATTTACTCTACCGAAGTGAAAATCAATGGTGCCATTGCTAGATTCTTGATTGATACAGGTTCAGCAGTTAGTATTCTGTCTTCAAAAATATTTCAAACTTTAGAAAATTCACCAAAAGAGCTGGAGAATGTATTCAATACATTGACAACTGCTGATGGTGGAACCATCAAAACTTACGGCAAAAAAATTTAAATGAAAATTTTTTTTCATTTAGGCTTGGAGACATTGATTTCACTCAAGAATTGGTAGTCGCAGACATAAATGAATTACATGTAATTCTGGGGTTTGATTTTCTAGAGAAATATGACATAGCAATTCATATAGCAAAATCCTGTTTACAAATGGAAAACATATTTTTCAATCTTGTCAAGCATGAAAATCAAAATGTAGCTAAAATCACCATTCAAGAAACTACAGTCATTTCGCCAAAAAGTTTTGATTTTAAATGGGAAATTACAAACATTTCTAACAGAAAATTCAACAAACATGATTTTTGAACCCTACAAAAAATTTCATGAAAAAGGAGCTTTAATTTCTAGAGCAATTTTTGAAGCAAACAGAGTCTTGTTTCCTTTATCAGTTTTCAATGTCTCAAAAGAACCAATTGAAATTTTGAAGGAACTGTTTTGGGAGCATTTGAATCTATTGAAAATGTACATCAGAAAACTGGTGTAAATGTAATTCAGAAAGTCCCCAATTCTGCTTCTAATGCAGATTTTCCAGAACATTTGAGATTAATTCTTGATAACATTTCAAAAGATCTTGATCAAGTATAGGAAGTAGAGAAATTATTAATTTCTTATCAAGACATATTCATGGGTCCTGATGGTAAATTAGGTCGGACATGTTTAGTGAAACATTCAATCAATACAGGTAATGTTCACCCCATCAAATTACCCCCCCCCCCTCCCCCCGAAGACTACTTATTCATCAAAAACAAACAGTAAATACTGAAATTGACAAAATGCTTAAAGACGACATTATTGAACCTAGTTCTGGGCCCTGGGCAAGTGAATGTTTAGAGGCTTTATCGGGTTGTAAGTACATGTGTACTCTTGACTTAGCATCGGGTTATTGGCAACAGGAAGTTGAAGTAAAAGATAGGGAAAAACAGCTTTTGCATCTCATAAAGGACTTTTTTCAATTTAAAGTTACTCCTTTTGGATCGTCAAATGCTCCCGCATGCTTTGAAAGACTTATGGAACTAATGTTAACTGGTCTTCAATGGGAACACTGCCTTTGTTACTTAGATGACATCATAGTATTTGGGAAAACCTTTGATAAGACACTTCATAGTTTGAAACTTGTTTTTTATAGACTTCGAGAAACAAATTTGATTTTGAAGCCTTAGAAATGTTTTTTTTTTATTTCAAACTGGTTCTTTTCTTAGGTCACATTGTATCGGATCAAGGGATAAAATGTAATCAAGAGAAAGTAAAGTGTGTTTTCGATTGGCCTATTCCAACAAATGTTTCAAAAAATTAAAAGTTCTCTTGGCCTAGCAGGGTATTACGGAAAATTTAGAAATGTTTTTTTTTATTTCAAACTGGTTCTTTTCTTAGGTCACATTGTATCGGATCAAGGGATAAAATGTAATCAAGAGAAAGTAAAGTGTGTTTTCGATTGGCCTATTCCAACAAATGTTTCAAAAAATTAAAAGTTCTCTTGGCCTAGCAGGGTATTACGGAAAATTTATTGACAATTTTTCTGAAGTTGCCTCCCCATTAACAAATCTCACTCGGAAAAATAAAAAGTTTTCTTGGGACAAACAATGTCAAAATTCATTTGAAAAAATTTAAGGAAAAATTAGTATCAGCCCCCAT